TCGACTCCTAGTTCCCTTGTCCCAAGAAAATGCAGATCAACCTTACTGGGTTCTTGAACGGAAAGAACGCGCGGCTCTTCATGGGTGAGCTGTGGGAACTGCTGCTGAGTGCCCAAGCCAGTGAAAATGGTATTCCAGAGTCGTTCACACAACAGAAGAAAGAAGAAATTAAGAAAAGAATGGTAAATATTAAGTTTAGATGTGTCACATTGCATGAAATCATTATGCAAGAGCTGATTGCATGTACCTCAAAAATTGTTTACTAATTATTTGGTAATTTTATAACTATAGGAAGAACAACAAAAGGATAAAGATAAAGACAAGGACCGGCGCAGGTCGCGAACACGGTCGCGGTCTCGTCGCAGATCCCGGGAGCGGCGGCGCTCACGGTCCAGATCACGTGACCGTTCTTCTGATAGGAAGTGAGTAATTATTTGTAAAATATTGGTTTTCAAGAACATTCATAAAAAATCCAACTAATTAAACTTACATGTCAAAATATAACAGGTATTATATTTGTTATAATTCCGTGGCGGTAACATTAATATAAATGTCGTTTTTAGAAATTTTAACTTTAACTCGTCGAGTACCGGTTTTGTAGACACAATTATAGAACAATAGGTTGCGGTCACCGGTGACCGCTTGGTGTTTGACAGTTTAAAATTTAAATTCATTTAAAATTAAATTAACCTCTTTTTTCAATGCTAATTTCAATATTTTATTTAGACATCGCAATGGCGGCAGCCCGCGACGGTCGAGGCGCCGCAGTCGCGATAGGAGTAGCCAGTCCAAGTCTTCACATGTAGAAGACATCAAACCAGCTGAACCGAAAGGTATACATTATTTAATATTTTTAGTGCACTATATTAACATGACGTATGTTATGTTGGTGGATTAATGAGTTATAGTCGAATTTATTTTACTGGGATTTATTACAATAATGTACAGGGCGCACGACGTGTACACACACTAGATTATGACGGGTAGACAGCGACTTTACTGACGTGTGTCCTACCTTATATAACACATTATAGTGAGGGGGCCACTACTTATTAATTAGTGATGATACAGACTAAACATACATGTAACAACGTAGTTAACTATCAAATATTGAAAGGCTACTCAATTTTAAGTTGTACTTAAATATTGTGACAGATCTGTTATTTTACAAAGAATATGTAGTAACAGAATTGCAGTTACTTAAGCCTTAAGTGCTTCTTAAAATTGTGTGGTGTTTGAGTATTTGGACATAAGTAAGAAACAAACAACGGGTTGCAAAGGCAGCTTTATCACTAACAACGATATCTCACAAATAAACTTATTTCAAACTTTAACGAATAAAAATAATAATAATGTTGCTTGCTACCAGAAAATGGAAAATCTCCAGAGAAGAAAGAAGAGCCGGAGGTAAAGGAGGAGACCAACCACAACACTGCAGTTGACTCTATCAAGGAAGAGGCGAAGGAAACTGTTGTTAAGGAAGATAAAAATGAAGATGAAGGAAATAAGTCTCGATCAGTGTCACCTGCCAAGTAAGTAGTAATTATGACTGATGATGATATTATCTTTTAAGTTTTATAAACATGGTATTTCTCTCTATGGTGTGCTGTTTTATTTGAGACAATCTATAAATTTCTCATTTCAACGATTTAAATGTTTGTAGGTCTACTGGGGAGAAACCATCTGAAGAAAAACCCGCTGATAAGTCTGCTAGGCGATCATCTAGCGAAAGACGATCCACATCTGTGTCATCACGTTAGTATAATAAAAGCTTTGAGCTAATCTGAAAGTATTTTTTTATTAGTTTATTCACTTATCCATCAATAAAGATAAAACGATTGTTGTAGGAGGGAGTGCCAAGAAGAGGTCGTCTCATAAGAAGCGTCAATATCGGTCCAACCGCGATTCATCGACCAGTGTCAGTCCTAGACGCAGTTCTCGCAGAGAAAGGTAAATTTTTGAACCTTTGTATATTTCACCCGTTATGTTTTCGGGGAAACCCGATTAGTTTATTTATTGAGAGCATTTACTCATTAGCTCTTAACGCGGCTAGGTCGCGAGCCCGAGAGAGTTCGGCTCGTCCGGCGAGTCCGAAACCGTGAGTATAGCCGCACACAATGTTATTTAGGAAAAAAATTAAGAGAAATGCTGTGATTAGATATCCACTAATGTATTATTACTAATGATATAGGAGTAAGTCTCGCCGCCGCAGCAGTCGCCGCCGGTCATTGGAGCGCCGCGACAGGGAGCGCGAGCGGGAGCGGGAGAGGGAGCGCGAGAGGGAACGCCGCCGCCGCGAGAGAGAGCGCCGAGAGAGGTATACATTACATTCATTTATATACATATACCTATCAATACATGTTTTATTGTTCTTTAACCCCAATCACATTAAATTGTATTTCATTTGAAACATGATAGTCTGTTCCTGTGGTCCGCAGGGATCAGTTTCTCTTGTCACTGGAATGCTTTCGATAATTGGGAAGTCAAAGTCAGTTTATTGTAGTTGTATCTAACTTTGAGTTCTTTTTTAAGGTCTCGTGAACGTCGCCGTTCACTGGAAAGACGCAGGCGATCGCGTTCTCGTTCACGTAGGCGCGCAACTAGAGAGAGGTAATAATTATCTTCTTAGTAACAATTCATTAAAACATAAGTTTTATAATAACAACTAAATATTGGTGTGTTTTTTAAAAGAAATGAATGTATTCCAATGAATTGAGAACCTTGTGTCATTTCCAAATTGTAATCTTATGATAATGAATTTAATGTAATATTTTTATGAATATTCGATAAGGTCTCGCGATCGTCGGCGATCCCGATCTCGAAGGCGATCTGCGTCTCGTTCACGGCGTCGCTCTGGTCGTCGCTCACGTGATCGACGCTCGAGGGATAGAAGATCCAGAGACAGGCGTTCGAGAGATAGGTCCAGGTAACAAAAAAAAATATTTTGCTTAAGTTAAAATTGCAACTGTATTAGAAAGAATATGTCTAATATTATCAATATTATTGCAGGGATAGGAGATCGAAAGACCGCACCAAGGACAGGAGGTCAAGAGACAGGAAGTCGAGAGATCGCAGATCCAGCGACTTAATCAAAGAAAGATTAGAAAAATCAGTTTCTATCCCTCGTAAAGGTTGGTTTTAAACTATACTTATGAAATAAATGAGTTTGCTAACCAATTACATTTTGTTGAGTACTTTATATAGTGATAGCATGAATTATAAAATTTGAATTTTGTTTTTGTAGAAAACCTGGAGAAGCTGCATAAAAAGTCGTCTGAGCGAAAATCATTACCACGGGAGCAGTCTAAAGAGCGAGTGGCATCTAGTACGAGTAGGGAATCTTCTGTTGCAAATGACAAACCTATTCCACAAACTGATGACCAAGTCAAACCAGCTCATTCATCTGACGACGAAGACAGAGAAGATATTATTGCTATTCCGCCGTTGCGTGAATTTTCGAAGAGCTTGTCTCGTACACCCTCTCCATTCTTAAGAAAACACGAAATTGAACACAAGAAGTCTGACAGATCTGGGGACGAAGCATCAGCAAAGGAACAAAATGAAGAGGAGTCTAAGCCCAGAGAAGTGAAGAAAGCAAAACGCAAGACACAACAATCTGAATCAGAAAGCGAGAGCAGTGAAGAAGTTTTGAAAGCCAAGTCTAAGTCAAAAGTTAAACGCAAGGATAAAGCTACTTCGAAGAAAACCAAGAAACCCAAGAAAGAAAGTTCCTCGAGTGAAAGCGATTCAGAAGATAGTTCTTCCAGCGATTCTGAAGATGATAGGAAGAAGAAGAGCAAAAAGAGCGCTAAAAAGAAATTAGCAAAAAAATCACGCAAGAAAAGAGCACGTTCATCTAGTTCAGAATCGAGTTCGGAAGAAGAAGTGAAACATAAGAGCTCGAAATCTAAGCAAAAGAACATTCCAGAAGAATCTGATGTTGACAAAAAGTCGAAAAAGCGTAACAAAGACAATACCATTGAACATTCAAGGTCAGAAAAGGGAGAAGGCAAGCAAAGCAAGTCAAAGAAAGTAGAGAACACTGATGATTCTCGCGATGATAGCTCTGACAGTGATGAAAAGTCGAGCAAGAAGAAACCCGTTAAGCGAGATACAAGTTCCGAAAAAGAAACTAGACGATCAAAGAAGTTGGATACAACTAAAGAACGTGCAGCTTCACCAGATGGTGTTAAAAGTAGAAAGACAGAAGAAAAAGTTACTAAAACCAAACATTCGGAGGAAGTTAAATCTAAGTCACGCGAAGATACTGAAAAGAAAGCCAAAAAACGTGAGAAAGAGGAATCGTCGTCAGATAGCGACCAGGTGTCTAAAAAGAAGGCTAGAAAGAAGGTGTCCGAATCGGATTCGGAATCTGATAGTGATGAGCCTAAAAAGTCAAAGAAGGCCAAGAAACATAAGAAACACTCTAAGAAGCATAAGAAACACAAAAAACATAAGAAAGCTTCAAAAAAGAAGGATGACTCTTCTGATAGTGATGAAGCCGAGGAAGAGGAGGAAGAGGGTAAGGTAAATAACGAAGATTTAGAAAAGAAACTTCGTGAAAGAGCATTGAAATCGATGAAAAAGCAAACTAGTGTTTCAGGGTCCGACTAGCCCTTCATTTTTTTTATCCACCGCGCTTACAAAACTGACTTTAAAGAGTTTCAGTGGCTTAGAATAAATGTCTTTATTTTACTGTATGTTAAAATTTTAAAAATGAAATACTTAGCAAGTATGGTTTTAAGATAACGTGTATGTCACATTGTTAGAAATAAATAAAGATTTCAACTGTGTAACCTTGTTTTATTTCGCAAATACCATTTCAACTGTACCTATTGTCCTCAAGAAACTTGATTTCATTACAACAAAGGTGTATTTTGTTCCAAATATTCGAAAACGAATTGATTTCTTCAATGACCACTTCATTTTTTTTTTGGTTTTAATCTATTGACGAAATATCACGAATCGTTTTACACACGAACGAGTAAAAAAAACTTCAATGCAAATTAAAGTACACAATTTATTAGGGATGTTGGTTTTAGGTACACTTTGAATGAAACTGATGATTTGCTTAACATAAACTTTGGATGTACTTTGGTAACTTATACTGAGAATAAATAGTTGATTGTCTTATACATAAGTAACGTACTTAAGTTGCTATTTATTTTCTCGAATAACCTCTATATCCGGTCACTAAACTTGGTGTGATTCCGCTGTTGTAAATGTTGCCATAACCGGGTCGTCGGTAATACCCGTAGCCCAAGTGATTAGCTCCTTGGTAGGATGGGTTGTTGTAGCCGTAGTATGAGTTCAATCCACCGTTGCCGGAATACCCACCGTAGCCTCCATATCCTGCACCGTATCCTCCTTTGTAGCCGCCGTAGCCAGCAGCGCCATAACCGCCATAGCCTGAGTTTCCATAGTAACCGCTTCCGTAGCCACCACCGTATCTTGGGTATTCTGAGTCATAACCATTGTAACCATAAGGGCTATCGTATCCCCCGAATCCGCCATAATTGTATCTACTGTCTACAGCACCGTAACCTGTGACTCCTTGAGCACTAGGATAGCGACCCCAATCTGCATAACGGTCTCCTGCGTCTGAAAGAAAAGTAACACGGTTGTCATTTTATTCGCTGGTTACTATTTTTTAAACATCTGTAAATACCTACTTAGTAGTGAAACAAGTGAATTTATGTCTGCAAATAGGCTACAAGGCAGCACTTTAACACGTCAATTTTATCAAGCGAACGATGAGGCCGACATTTCCTAACTGACTACTCTGAGAAGAAATGCCAAAACAAACTCAGAGGTCCGTCTCTTTTATAATAATTTCATGAACACTTATATTTGTAAAATAAAATCAAAAGCAGAACAAAAAAACAAAAGCACTAACTGGAACTAGATACCATTATTTTTATCTTAAATGGGGTGTACATAATTGTATACTTACAACCACTGCTAGCAGCTGTTTTCAAATCATCTTTATCGTCTTGTGTGTCCGAAGCCGACTTTACTGAACCTGACACTTCGTTGGCAGGTGCTGCACACGTATGCTCAAATAACATCAGAGCGGCTAGTAGAATAATCACTCGTGGCATCATCTGAAGAAAGAAAGCGAAAACAGTTACCTAAGTAAGGTATTATATTTTTTATGTCTTAACTAATATCAACAACATATTATATTATCATCACTCAATGATATATCAGCGTAGTGCACACACACAGAATCTGTGCGTCCCGTTCATGACAAAAACAAATAAGGGAACCCGGGAATCAAACTATTTATAATAGAAACTGCTCGACCGATAGTGGAGCTTATATTGCCCTTACATTCTTACAATGTATCTGAAATATCTAAAAGCAATACAAACGTTCAGTTAATTCGATTATTTCTTTTCAAAGGTTTTTGTTAGTTAAAGAAGCGCAATGAATTTTGGAAATTAGCTTGTCATTTGGTTTACGAACCCGGAATCTCGTGCTCGAGCAGCGTGTCACTCAACTTCCTGTCGCTACAGTCACACAGTAATACGTTTAATGTGATATTTTTTAAGGAACTTGCCTAAAATCTGAGTAGGTAATTATTAAGTAATTTGAAACCTTCAAAACCGCTATAATTAGACACCTTTAACGTATTATCTAATGTTCGTATCGTTCCGTATAATAGTTCCGTTTTTCCTTAGTTCCGTTGTTTTTTAATTAGCTGTATGTGAAGTTATTATAAATATGCAAACACCTTTGACCCTCAAAACAATAATGACCACGATGTTAGACCTATAGGTACCAACTGAGATGTTATTCCCACGCAATTTATAGGTAGGTTCAAGATATTCAGATAACCTATTCAATTATTTATTGACGAAGTACCTACAAGTTCGATTACGGACTTATGTAAGTAAGACCACTTAATGACTTAGGTAATACTTCTATGATTGTCCTATCTAACCGCTACTTGTTTTGTCATTTCTAGTTGCCATTGGCCAGATAGGATCGTGGGTTTACCTACCTAATTAAAAGAAGCTAGTATGACATACGCAGGCCGGGAAGTTGACGTTCAAGCGTATTTAGATACTTTATGATGAGGAGTATCCAAATCACCATCATGTTCTACGATTTTGCGTTGTTTTCGAGTTATAATTAGTTAATGTGTCTTTAATTTTCACCTACCATCAGTTTTCGATTTTTTTCTCATTTTGTTGGCCGTTTCTGGTTGTTTTGTGATAACTGATTAACATAGTTTAACCTTGCACCCCAAATGTTATGGTTTATCTAGGCATTGCAGAATTTATCTAGAATTACTGTGTATTGAGCTCAAAACGTAATTATGAACTTACTTTCGAGTATTTACTTACTTAAATTCTAAGTAAGTAAATACTCGAAGGGTAGGTACTAGGTAGGTAACAATTTATTTGTTATATGTATAATATAATCAAATTAGTACAACATTACAGTTACATAAACCAATTATATAAAAGAGAGAGAGAGAGAAAAAAATCTTTTAAGTTTTAACATAGCAAATTAACGGTGCGCCTGACACGCTCCTTTTTAGGATACCTTCACTTTTAAAAATTAAAATAACAACTAAAACCTCCATAACAATGCCGTTACATTGCAATTTGTATTCGATGATGATTGAATTCATGTTATGTTAGGTATGACTTGATGCCTAAATTGTAAGATTAAAATTGCATAATGAATTAAAGTAAAAGTGAAATGATGAATAAAAAACTTAGACTACAAACTTTCACTGGATTGAAAATGAAATTGTAATTTACAGAGATAGGTGTTTAGATTTCTACTCTTTATAAATTGATATACAAATCCTTTCTATAATTATAATGGAAGCTTGTTGATACCTATAATTAAGCAACCATTCATAAATGTCTCGGATGACCTGTCGCGGTGAGCCGCCGAGAGCCCGAGCCCGAGCCCGAGGCGATACAAGGATTTTCTCCTGTGTCGTGGGTGCGTTCAAAACTTACAATTTCACATAGGTACATGAAATCTATATCCGGAAGAACAATTTGTTGATCAAACTAAGAGTCGTTCCGTGCGGGAATAGAACCCGCGACATGTTGTACGGCAGCTGGATGCCCTCTGTCCAGCCACAGCACCGCACCAACTATGCGGACGAGGTTTTGATTTTCGGCTCGAGCAAAGTATTAGTTTTAGAACTTTTTAATCTTAGCACGTTGTCATAATTAGGTTGTATGGCAATATGCTAAACCACTGTTAAGTGAGAATAGTTTAACCCAAACACTTGAGTGGCAGAAAAGTCTCTACGATTCTGTTACCCCTTCGAAGAATAAAAGGCGTGATGTTTGCATAAATATAATATAATGTCTGATTTCGTTAACTTTTCCTTCTATGCATTTTGATAACTGGGTGTTTTTCTCGTGAAGCATGCTCTATAATTATAGTATAATAAGTAGGTGCTTAGAGTGACAAGAAGCCCGAAATTGGCAAAGTTATTAACTATTCGATTAGTCTACATTTATGATACGCCACTATATAGCCACTTCATTGAATTGAATTAGGACTTGTTACAATATAATTAAGTCTTGGTAGATTTAGAGGTATCTAGCATATTAGTTCCTAATTATTGTATTCGATCAAAACTGAAAGGTACATAATTTCGAAATAAAAATCATTTAAGCACTGGTGTAAATATTTGTAAGTAATACATTGGTCCGAACTTAGAAGGTGGCTTCATAGGCGTTGTTGTGTTAAATATTTAACACAATATATAACACTACACGGTTAGTTCTGTAGCCCAGTTAACGATTGTCTCATAAACGTGCAGGGTTTGAGTCATGAACGAAACAATGCATTTTGTTGTTGTAACCGAGTCTAAAAACAAAGCAATGCCTTGACGCTTTTTTCATTTGTTTAATTAATATTTTACTTATTTGATTAGTGGTTATTAAACTGGTTATTATTTAATTGTAAAAGACGAAATGAACACAACATCGCCTTTGTTGTTCTTCGAAAGAGGAAGTCGAGTTCCACTTACAGTACCTACCCTGTTAAGACTAAACTCACTCTTATATTTCTAAGTAATAAAAAAAACTACTTACGGTTAAATATTTTTCAAAAGCAAACAGTACCAATTAGAATTTCACGAGCAGTGTATAGTAAATCACGACACAGGTTCTCCTCGTAAGTAGAGATGCGCTCTGCGTACGTATTCGTACGTTCCAACCTTTATAAACCGTGGGAGTTTTTGTCTTGTAATTGATAATGGTCACCGGGGAGGTAATGAGTCCGTTTGTAGGCAGCTCGTCCTTCTGTCAAGACTCAAGACTATGACGCATGCGCACGTATACGTAATACAATCATTATCACTATACATAATGGTAGCTCTATTCTCCCATGAGGTGTGTTATGGTCCCAAAGTGCATACAGTACAATATACGGAAGCATCGACTAACCCTGAAGGCATTCGCATCATATTTTTAAATGGACAATGGTGGTTTATTAATATTTACATTGTCAAGTTTGTGGATTTTTTTTCGTCTTTCCGTTTGCAATAAACAATATTTCTTTTTGAATTTCAGGAAATAATTAATTCTTCATCGTAAATTAAACGTTATTTAGTAATATCAGTTGTTGCTACTGTGGCAATATCGGTTTACCGTAAACTCTAGGTAGTACTGTCTCATTGAAAACAATGTTTTAGTTGACCACAATATGAATAAGATACTCATTTTTCTACTTAAGTTAATTAACCATTATATAGGCTATGCCTAGAGCTGTAAAATAATAATAAATTACTATACGACATACTGTTTTTTTTAAATTATACCAAAAAAAAAATACAAAGGTTTAACGTATTTATTTATAGTAAATAAACTTCAATGAATTGTGTATCAATCATTGCTCCATTATCGATACCATATTTAATCCAGCACCCACAGCCTCAGTGTGCGTGTGTGTATTTATAATCTCATTCATTACATACTGTATAATGGATAAACCCGTTACAAAAAGAGCCACTAAATGTAGTTCTAACTTGTTACTTGAATGAATGACTATATGCCATACTATAGACACATTCATTCAGTTTTTTCATGACGTTAAAACGTGCCTTTCGGGAGCATTTGATCAAAGAATTTTATTACCAACTAGCTGAACCCGCAAATTCGTCTGCGTTTTTCTAAAATAAAAGTAGCCTGTTACTTTACTTTATTACTCGTAAGTACATTAGCTATCTGCTATTAAAAGTACCGTCAAAATCCGTCCAACCATTCCAGAGATTAGCCATTACAAATATACAGACAGACAGACAGACAAAATTGTAAAAAGTATGCGTGCAGTAAAAAGCAGTTATTTCAATATTACAAACAGATACTAGAAAGAAAGAAAGAAAGAAAAAACATTTATTTGACAATTACACGCACAGAAAACAAAGAATATAAAAAAAATAAAAATACATATGTAAACAAAATACTAATAATAAACTTACAAGAATAGAGATTAGAACAGACAATATATCAAAACATCACAATATAACAAAATAATAATATTAATTTTAATTTGCGCGTGCTAATGCCAAAAGGGCCTCCACCTCAGCATATAGTTGGACGTTTGTGCCCAACGCTGGTTTTCAGGTGGCACCCTGCAGTGACTCACGGACGGCGGTGCCGCCCCTCAATGAAGACAGAAAATAAACATGAAATTGTATAAATAATATAAATTTGGCTGAATATGTGTGTGTGTGTGTGTGTGTGTGAAAAATTGAGAATAGAATAATATATATATCCGATAGTACATGTACATATATACATACAAACAAAATGTAAAAATGTAATTATAAGAGTTAGTCACTTTTGACGTTTACTCTTTTTTTTTTTAATTAATTGGGGTTTATTTCACATTTTTGATTACAAAGACAGTTTTAGTGACAACTCTGCTGAGCTCTGATTCATTCCGACGCGTACCCTCAAAGAAACAGCCGCCTCAACAGCCTCAACAGCCTCAAAGCAACTACAATTTCATTTACCTGTATAGATAGGTATTAGGTATTCATAAACTTAATGAGTTGTTTAAAGTAAACTAACACAGACAGGTGACAGATGAAGATACATTTTGTTAAACAAAATATCGAGGGGCTCCTATAATTTTTATTCTTCGTACACGAATATGTTACATATCTCTACATCAGCCAATGGTTCATCACCAGGCATTAAGTCCACCAATGTATGCTCAATTGGTACTGAAATGTAAAATATATATAAAATGCAGTGAAATCTCATGTCATGAGAGGCGGTACAAAGTTAGCAACACGATCCATATCATAAAGAAGTAATTGACAGATATAGATTTCGTTGATATGGTGAAATGTGTTGGTAGGAATAAGATGTAGCACTCTCACGCTTGACTGGCTTGGTTGGAGGTCGTCAGCCAAGGTTACACTCATCCCTGTCCCCTCCGTTGATCACACAACTTTTTTGCCACTCGTCATCATCTAAGTACAATTGTCATGTGTCTATTGTTTACACCTCCCTGGTTGCACAGTCAAAACACGAAATTCTACCTTAACAGCAACGGCACAAAGTCCATCTGTTAATGTACAAGTGTATTTACTTTAGACTTTGCGTGAAACATTAGATTTTCAATGTTGAAATTACAAATTCGGGCGTACCCGCACTTCCCTAATAGGATTACCCAATGATTTACTTAAATGCCATTGTACTTAAAGCGGAAAAACCGTTTTCTTGAGCGACATTAAGTTTAAGTCTTCTATGGCGAAACAGTAGATTAGTCATTCGTGTTTAGTTCTTAGTCAGATTAGGTATCTGTTTTATAGCTGTCACACCCTAACTGTGGTTTTGTAATTACTGTACGTATGTACCTAGATGATATTATCCATCTAGTTTATCCGTCTAGAATTTAGACGCCTCTATTCTATTAATGAATGGATCACGACATTATTGTTATATTAAGTAGTGTGTGTTAGCACACTAGAATTTTTATTACACGGTTGGTGCAGTGACCGTGCGTACGGAAACAGCACCACATGCGCCGCGGTTTCGATTCTGGTATTATTCTGATGTGTAGGTAAGGTAAATACGTACATATCTGAGATTTGAATCTGTAAAGCATCGTTTAACAAACTTGAGTAAAAATCTCTCAAAAAATTTCGTTTCGTTGTAACAAAGTGGTTGACACCTTCACATTACAAAAATATTTTAATAGGTGGTTCTTTAGAGTTAAATTGTAATCCACTACACTATAGGATAGGCCCTCCCATTTGAGACATATTTGAAGAATATTGGAGTTGTCTTGAGAATCTAGTATGATATCTTGAAGGGGGTGTAAAATAAGTATTAATTTATTAGATATTCATTTGCATTGACACAGGTTATAAGATTATGGCTTTGGTCACTAAAAGGCGAATACGAAAATCTCGACGTACGTACAGTTTGGCAATTTATCTTTAAAAGTAGTTATTTTGAGTTTTAATGTCGGTTAAAAGTCTAATGACTATTATTTCAGTAATACTTCCGTCTAATGTGCTTGTGTAACTCAAAAATGTTAATATTAAACTACCTACAAAAGCCATTATAATCTTGTTATGAATTCCTCAAAATTGTTGTTTTTTGTACAATTTGTGTGACAATTATGGCAGCTATGTGAATATAAAGTCGAAAACAGTATGAACGACGATTTAGTATGGTGGTCTTTGACAAGGCCATGACTCACATAATATTGTAATGACAATGCCTTAAAAAATTAAGATAATCTTATGACAACAATTTTAGGAGACGCTGCAGCAGGTACCTACAGAAATAAAAAGGTCATTGTTCAACAAAACTTCTTCACAGACAGAACTAGAATATGTCTGGCTAAAGCTTTCAAGTATCTAACCATTTATCTACCATATCGTAGTTTTTTGTCACTTAATAACTATGACACATTAATAAAATAAGAAGAATCATCCATACATATCTGTACCTATGTATTAATTTGCCATGTTGTCCATATTAGTGACTTATGATTATCCATGTTGTATGGGAGCCCTGTGAGCTGTGGGATAATGTTTAGAGCCTCGCAGTGACCCGTGACGATGCATTGGAGTCACGGCTGTTGTGGTATACAATGCAAGATACGTGGGTTACTACTTGCATACGTATTTGCAAATGCGATAAGCGAGTTTTGCATCCAAGTAAATGGTTTTATTCGGCAATATATTCTAAAGCTATTATATTCCGTCGACATTGTTCGTTGGACTGATAGGTACGGGTGTAACAAAACGAACGGTGATATTATTTGATAATTTAGGATTTTGAAATCAAACCAACATGTATTTAATTATTTGAAAATATAATTTATTATTTCTTCGTGACAAATGATGACGCTTAGTAATTACTTATGAAATTCAATTAATAACATAAATGGCAACATCGAACTGAATATTTATATTTGTAAATATTACATACAAAAGCGTATCATGAAATAATAAAAAATGTTGAATACTTATATATTTATAATACAATTTTCTTTAACCTATGAATGACGTATCTATTTGCGGGTAATAAATATTGTGCTTGACGTCATTTTATCAAATTTTGAGACCGTCCAAGAATTTCTTTAAATCGGACAGTCTCAAAATTATCTTAAATCGTATACCAAAAAGAGGCTATGAAGATTCTTGGTATACATAATTATATATATACCTATTTAGTTTTTAGAGACCCTAGTTCTACCGGTTCTAGTTCTTCTTCTTTGACTCTTTGTTTCAATTATCTGTTTCTTTTCATTTTTGTCGTTCGTTTCGTCTAGTATCCGCGGGTGAGCGGCGATTGTGCGTATACTCTTCTCTAATGGTTTGATTTGATTTCTTAGGAGGTCATCTAATTCAGTTAGAGATTTAATTTCTTTGAGATCTTTAAGATCCTTGAGATCCTTGAAGTTAGTACTGCGTCCTCCATTAAGTCTGCCTAAGTATCGATAGATATCACTGCTAGCTTGACATTGGTTGCAGCTGTATTGAACAGGGACAGCATTAGGGAAATTCTGTTGAGCGCTATTCATATTGGAAGCGTTTCCTGGGCAGTATGGTACGAATACTACGGGAACGAATCCAATGATGCCGTATGGTGGGTACTGCGGCTGGTTCTGATAGTGAGGTGGAGCCGTTGCTTGAGGTCCTTGTCCTTGTACGCTCGTTTCGTTCTGTCCTGGTTTAAGTAAATAGCACGGGCAAGACGCTGGACTAGGGACGATGGGCAGCGGGTACGGAATAACGTAGATAGGGAATGGTGGCATTTGACTTGATGGTACAGTTGCAGGTGGTTGTACTCCGGTGCCAGACGGTGACGTTTCAGAATCTGGAAACAAAAAATCCTTGTCAGACTTGATTTTTCTACATGCGTAACATGTCATTTAACGTTCATTGGATACTCTAAGCATTTAATGTTTACTGAGGTATCAGTATCTGTGTTACTTCAATCACACACTAAACCATCATGTTTGGATTATTGTGTCTATATACTCATTGAACAACTCAAAAAAGTACCTGGGTATTGTCCTGGTTGACTTGGTTGGCCTGGCTGTCCTGGGTATCCAGGTTGTCCTGGTTGTCCTGGGTATCCTGGTTGACCAGGCTGTCCAGGGCCTCCAGGCTGTCCTGGCTGTCCTGGTTGACCTGGTTGCCCTGGTTGTCCTGGGTAACCCGGTTGTCCTGGTTGTCCTGGGTATCCTGGTTGACCAGGCTGTCCAGAGCTTCCAGGCTGTCCTGGCTGTCCTGGGTATCCCGCCTGTCCTGGTTGACCTGGTTGTCCTGGTTGTCCTGGGTAACCTGGTTGTCCTGGCTGTCCTGGGTATCCTGGTTGACCAGGCTGTCCAGGGCCTCCAGGCTGTCCTGGCTGTCCTGGGTATCCCGGCTGTCCTGGTTGACCTGGTCGTCCTGGTTGGCCTGGCTGTCCTGGGTATCCGGGTTGTCCTGGGTGTCCTGGTTGACCAGGCTGTCCAGGCTGTCCAGGTCCTCCAGGCTGCCCTGGCTGTCCTGGGTATCCCGGCTGTCCTGGTTGTCCTGGGTATCCTGGTTGTCCTGGTTCACCTGGTTGTCCTGGGTAACCAGGTTGCCCGGGTTGCCCGGGTTGTCCTGGTTGTCCTGGTTGTCCGGGGCCACCTAGAAATATTATTAACATTAACACAATTTTCTACACCCTGATAGAGGTAGGGGCTAGGGGTGTTGGTAACTTTATCTCTTCGAACTACTTATATTATAATATTAGTATCTTACCATTTAGGAGCTGCCCAAAATCGAATCATTGTATGTACATTCAGAATATGTACTCCCGGTTAATACTGTGAGTACATATTCTGAATGTAATTATAATGAGTCTATAAGGCTCAAATCATGGTGACAACAGGTATTTTAACTACCTGTGACGACATCACTTGTAAGAACGAATATTATTCAAAATATTTTTTATTTATTAAAACACCTTAAATCCTTATTTTTATAAATGGAGAATGTTAACGTTTTTAGAAATGTGTGCAAATATGAAGCCCTCGTTATTACGAATTGACCTGTATTTTTTTTTTTTTTTAAGGGGGGAAAATCATCGAATGACTGCTCCCGCCTGGGTGAGGCGGGAGGAAGTGTCAGACTCTTACTGACTAAAAACCACCCCGTTCCTTCTCCTGCACGTCGAGCCGGAGCCTCGGTTACCCGTTAGGTTCTCCGCCTGTGGTGGTTGGGCCCCATCTGTGGTGGTCTGATGGCTCTTTGAGACGCGCGCCGTACGCTCGGGAAAAAATATAAGCCTCTCAAGATTTGATTTGATGACTTGCAGTATTCATCCAAAATTTACGTTGTACTGTGACGTCGTCATAGCACAACGTCCCATACTTTTTTTATACATATAGTGAAAGGTAGTAGGTAGGTAATAGGTATTATTAGTTAAGCTATTTGAGATACAAATGCGTAAGTACTATTTTAATCTTACGTTACAGTAACATTCTCCATTGTTTACTATTGTATTAGATGGATACTTGATTGACTACTATTAAACTACAACTAAGTGAGATATGTGATTTATTAATTAAAATGTATTAAATTTTACCTGGCTGCCCTGGTTGACCTGGACCACCGGGTTGTCCTTGCTGTCCTGGGTATCCTGGTTGTCCTGGTTGGCCAGGCTGTCCTGGTTTTCCAGGTTCTCCTGGTTGACCCGGTTGTCCTGGATATCCTGGTTGTCCGGGCTGGCCTTGCTGTCCAGGCTGCCCTGGACCACCGGGTTGTCCTTGCTGTCCAGGGTAGCCTGGTTGTCCTGGTTGGCCAGGCTGTCCTGGTTTTCCAGGTTCTCCTGGTTGACCTGGTTGTCCTGGATATCCTGGTTGCCCTGGCTTACCAGGCTGTCCTGGTTGCCCTGGGTATCCTGGTTGTCCAGTCTGGGCTGGTTGTTCTGGCTGTCCTGGGCCACCAGGTTGTCCTTGCTGACTTGGGTATCCTGGTTGGCCAGGTTGACCAGGCTTGTCTGGCTGTCCTGGTTGTCCTGGTTGTCCTGGCTGTCCAGGCTGTCCTTGTTGCCCTGGGTATCCCGGCTGGCCTGGCTGTCCCGGGTATCCTGGTTGACCTGGCTGACCAGGCTGTCCTGGGTATCCTGGTTGGCCGGGCTGGCCAGGTTTACTTGGTTGCCCTGGTTGACCTGGCTGTCCTGGACCACCGGGTTGTCCTTGCTGTCCTGGGTATCCTGGCTTTCCTGGCTGTCCTGGTTGTCCTGGCTGTCCAGGCTGTCCTGGTTGCCCTGGGTATCCCGGCTGGCCTGGCTGTCCCGGGTATCCTGGTTGGCCTGGCTGGCCAGGCTGTCCTGGGTATCCTGGTTGGCCGGGCTGGCCAGGTTTACCTGGCTGCCCTGGTTGACCTGGCTGTCCTGGACCACCAGGTTGTCCTTGCTGTCCTGGGTATCCCGGCTGGCCTGGTTGTCCCGGGTATCCTGGTTGGCCTGGCTGGCCAGGCTGTCCTGGGTATCCTGGTTGGCCGGGCTGGCCAGGTTTGCCTGGTTGCCCTGGTTGACCTGGCTGTTCCGGACCACCGGGTTGTCCTTGCTGTCCTGGGTATCCTGGCTGTTCTGGCTGTCCTGGGTAACCTGGTTGGCCAGGTTGACCAGGCTTGCCTGGTTGTCCTGGGTATCCTGGTTGGCCTGGCTGGCCTGGTATACCTGGTTGCCCTGGTTGACCTGACTGTCCTGGACGACCTGGTTGTCCTTGCTGTCCTGGGTATCCTGGCTGTCCTGGCTGTCCAGGCTGTCCTGGTTGGCCAGGCTGACCAGGCTTGCCTGGCTGTCCTGGTTGTCCTGGCTGGCCAGGTTCTCCTGGTTGCCCTGGGTATCCCGGCTGGCCTGGCTGTCCCGGATATCCTGGTTGGCCGGGCTTTCCTGGTTGTTCTGGTTGACCTGACTGTCCTGGGCCACCTGGTTGTCCTTGCTGTCCTGGCTGTCCAGGGTAGCCAGGCTGACCTGGCTGGCCTGGTTGTCCTGGCTGGCCAGACTGCCCTGGTTTACCAGGCTGTCCTGGTTGCCCTGGGTATCCCGGCTGGCCTGGCTGTCCTGGGTATCCTGGTTGGCCGGGTTGGCCTGGTTTACCAGGCTGTCCTGGGTATCCTGGTTGGCCGGGCTGACCAGGCTGTCCTGGGTATCCTGGTTGGCCGGGCTGACCAGGCTGTCCTGGGTATCCTGATTGGCCTGGTTTACCTAGTATGCAAAATATACCTGTTATTTAATATTCTTTTGATTGTTGTAATTTTTTCACCTGTTTACAACTTATTTGCCTGTTATTTGTATTTATTAAATACCACGTTCTAATAAATAGTAGTAGATAGATAGCTCATGAATTGGAAACAAACCTAGATGGTGGAGATGTAATAGTAGGTCCTATTGTTTATTGTAGGTTGTAGGACATCATAGTATAACATGGTATCTTTTATCAACTTAAGGGGAGATACTGATTAGATGTATGTACATCTAATCATCTAATCAAAAACTCCAATAAAAAATAGTCATGTCAGGGCTTCCAATTATCTGTTAATTTTTGCTAACCGGATAATACGGTTATGAAAATTTTACTCGGATAGTAAATTTTTACTAATTTAACTATCATAATTTTACTATACAGTTTAACAGGGTAATATGGAGACTTTTAACAATATTATTATGCCTGATACTTATAATCTTTTCTATCGTATTTAAAAGTCAAAATGCTAATTAAATACATATCAAAGTCACAGCATAATGATTAAATCAGCTCAATGTAGACAAGAGGCAGTTGGTTTTCATGCTTCTAGTCGATATTGATGCACACGGTACATGCACACATGGTGATTTATAGTCGAATTATTAGCTTTTGAAAGACAAAATTTGAAAAAGCCAACAACATCTTTTCGTCTCACATATCTCAATGCCTTAACGAAAGTCTAGAATAAATGTATTATCATCGATGATCTATGGCAGCGCTGTCCAAACTATATACCCTCGCGGGCTAATTAAATTTCTTACAAAAGCTGAAGGGCCAGAAAAATATTTTTTGTTGTATAATGACGCTTAGCATTGTATTCTTTACTCACAGACAAAACTTGCATACAAATAATACACTGAATTTTATTATTGTTGCATATAAGTTGTAGATGTTAAGATATAAATCTGTGTCATCATAAATCGCGGGCCCACACGAAAACAAGACGCGAGCTGCATGCGGCCCGCGGGCCTTTGTTTGGACATCCCTGATCTATGGATTCGAGATGTGGTCTTCAAGGTCGCTCAGCGCGTAACCGACAGGATCATTTTTCTCACGAGTTGGAATAAAAAGAGATCCGCAAACGGACAAGTTACCGACATAGCCCATTGGATAAGCAAGCTGAAGTGGCAGTGGGCAGGGCACATAGTACGGAATACCGACGGGTGCTGGGGCAGAAAGGTTCTCGAATGGAGGATACGTAGTGGTAAGCGCAGCGTAAGACGTACCCACTAGGTGAACAGAGGACCTGATTGAGGTCATAGGGAGTCGCTGGATCGCTCCGATTTAAAATTATTTGATATCCCACATCTCAATATGGTGTATAAAATCCGACATCTTAATTTTTTCTACTTATACACATACAAACACTTAAAAACTAAAAGTCGATTTACGAAGTAATTGAAAGAACTATAATATGTTTTCCGAGTGTCTACTGGCAATTTGTAGCACCTTTTTCGCACGGACGACCACTATCCAAAAATCCGGTTAGTGTTGCAAGTAAAATCCAGATTTCAAAATCGTCAGACATCTAGATAATACAGATATCCGGATTGGAAGCCCTTGTCATGTATAAACCAATGAAAATTTTGTAATGAATGGTTCTCCCCTTATACTCCCTACTAATATTATAAATGCTAAAAAAGCACCAACGAATGTAAAATTTACTACAAGCAAGGAAAATTTTCATATAAATGTTACCTGGCTGTCCTGGATATCCTGGTTGTCCTGGTTGTCCTGGATGTCCTGGTTGTCCTGGTTGTCCTGGTTGTCCTGGTTGTCCTGGTTGTCCGGGGTATCCTGGTTGACCTGGTTGTGCTGGATATCCAGGTTGACCTTGCTGTCCTGGTTGTCCGGGGCCACCTGGTTGTCCTGGTTGTCCGGGGTATCCTGGTTGACCAGGCTGTCCTGGCTTGCCAGGTTGTCCTGGATATCCTGGTTGACCTTGCTGTCCTGGTTGTCCAGGCTGACCTGGTGTGCCTGGTTGTCCTGGTTGTCCGGGGTATCCTGGCTGACCAGGCTGACCTGGCTTACCTGGTTGTCCTGGTTGACCTAGCAATTTGAAATGAATGATACACCGTGAAATCTATTTCGTTTTTATCCCTAAGTAAAACGGTTCTGCCTCGGTGTTACACTGCCGAAAGGTAGCATACTTCAGAATTTTCCAGCAGCGTGTGATAATTGCAACTTATTTCAACATGAATTCTTAACGTTATGCGTTTCAATATATGCAAATCTATTATGTATCTTACATATTAGGCATTAAAAAGCGTTAGTAGTTTGTCCGTTAAATTCTTTTAACTTGTTGTAATTAAAAAATTCTTTGATTTTTGTAGTCTTAATTACCTGGGTATCCCGGCTGTCCTGGTTGTCCGGGGTATCCTGGTTGGCCAGGTTGTCCTGATTCACCTGAAAATTTCGTTTAAATTGATATGTGTGCCGTAATATGTTATACCTCTGGTCCAATTTTGAATTTTGTATTAGTTTCCGATGTTGATATATTCCGCTTGTTGTAGATATTACGCTCACAAAGTATTAATAGCTTTAAATATAATCTAATAAATTACATTCTAACTTCGCAAAAAGACAAGGCTGCAATTAATGTTGATCTGTCTATCATTTAACTCAAGCCAACTTAGTGTATAAATGATGCAGAACACAGATATACTGAATGTCCTATGTCCTCCATTCTGTCATGTGTATTATTTATTAACACTTTTCTTTTTTATTATTTTATTATATATTACTTTTTATATTTATTCTATTGATAAGTATTCCATTGTTATATCTACATACTTAATACATATTTTTTTGTCTTTGTCTAACCATACTACGTTGCTACCATCCGTGCGTCACTGCATGGGTGCCCACTTAAAATCATTGCTGGGTAACTTGTATGCCTGTTAGGCTCGCTGCCATTGCAGCGGTAAGTCCCCTCTTTGAGGAGTGGCTTGAGAGACGCTACAGCGTCTTCACCTACCGCCTGACGCAGGTCCTCACCGGACATGGAAGTTTCGGGAGGTACCTGTGTATGTGATGGGGCGGGAAGAAACGCCCGGATATCATCACTGCGAGGACCGCTCTGAGGACACGGTGGAACACACTGTAGCGGAATGCCCTGCGTGAGCTGAGCATCGCCGTGCCCTCAGGGAAGTGATCGGCGATGGCGACCTCTCGCGTCCGGGCCTAGTGCAGGCCATGATGCGTAGCGAGGGGGACTGGGATGCCGTGCCCTCCTTTTGCGAAGCAGTCATGCTAACTAAAGAGGAGGCGGGACGCGTGAGGCAGCGAAGCGCTGCCTCCTCGCAAGCCAGCCATCGCGAAGGACACACCGGACGTCGGGGATCAAAAAGCCATCAGACCACCACAGATGGGGCCCAATAGGGCCGATGGCGATTCGGGGTCGCGGAGAACCTAACGGGTAACCGGGGCTCCGGCTCGATGTGCAGGAGAAGGAACAGGGTGGTTTTTGGTCAGCAAGAGTCTGACACTCCTCCTCGAATGACTCCTCCCGCCTCACCCTGGCGGGAGCAGTCATTCGATGATTTTCCCACCTTAAAAAAAATGCCTGGCTTTCATTGAGTGGGTGACCCTTTTAGCATAGGCATGTTGTCAGCGTCTCTCTTCTTATTCTTCTGTTTTAATTTTTTAACTCTTATGTTTTTATTAATTCCACTGTCACACTTTTATTGTCTTTTTATATTTTATTTATGCTGCATCGTGCCTGGTGCTGAATAAATGTTTTTTCTTTCTTCCATTCAAAGCAATTAGTAACGTTAAATGATTTTAGCAAAATCATAGCATTTTGAGATGGTTAAGGTTTATTATGGTCGTAAAGATTAAATAATCTTAATAATATAATAATTATTACCTGGGAATCCTGGTTGTCCAGGCTGACCGGGTTGCCCTGGTTGTGCGGGACCTCCTGGTTGACCTTGCTGTCCTGGGTATCCTGGTTGTCCGGGTTCGCCTGGTTGTCCTGGGTATCCTGGTTGTCCTGGCTGCCCTGGGTACCCTGGTTGTCCTGGTTGTCCTGGTTGTCCTGGCTGCCCTGGGTACCCTGGTTGTCCAGGCTGACCTGGTTTGCCAGGTTGTCCTGGCTGTCCGGGACCACCTGATTGTCCTGGGTATCCTGGCTGGCCTGGTTGTCCTGATTCACCTAGAAAATTATTTGCATTCATTTATTGACTGCATGGTTGGCACGGTGGCTGGGTAACCGTCTGTCTCGCTACGTGTAGCGGGTTCGATTTCCGAACGGAGCAACTCGCATCTGGGTGTCGTGATTATGTGGACTTGTAAGTTTGTAAACGCAACTAAGATACAGAAGAAAATCCTGGAGTGGGGCAACATTTAAAAATAATGAACAACCTTAATTCAGAGGATGTTTATTTGGTCTATGCATCACCACATTAGTTTCGTTTCTATTCGGTTTGAGAAAAAATATTTTTAAAATATTTATAAAAATCTTATAAAATCCACGAAAGTAAATGTCATTGCTCTTTGCATTTGACTTAAAGACGAAGATAAGAGTTGCACGATTTGTGCGACAATTTGACATAATGAGATAATAAAATAAATTCTCACCAGGTTGTCCTGGTTGTCCTGGGTAACCTGGCTGGCCTGGTTCGCCTGGTTTGCCAGGTTGTCCTGGCTGTCCTGGGTATCCTGGCTGGCCAGGTTGTCCTGGTTGGCCTGGATATCCTGGCTGACCTGGCTTACCAGGCTGTCCCGGGTATTCTGGTTGTCCAGGTTGTCCTGGGTATCCTGGCTGACCGGGTTTAATTAGGTCTTCAGGACGTCCTGGCCCTCCTTATAAGAGATAAAAATTAAAAATACACAATGTGTAAAAGTGTCTCCGAATCGTTCATTTTTAATTAAAAAGAGAAAATTAGGTGTGAAAATAGATTTTTCTTGAAAGTGTTGATACAAATAAGTCAAATAAACGTCACTCGTCTATTTATAATATTACGTCTTATAGTAAACTGTATAACGTTTATCTTAGTAAACTGTATAACGTTATTAATTATGTAATGTTTTTAGTTATGTGTGATAAGTATAATAAAATGAGTATCAGATATCCTAATCACCGGAACACCATTATATGCATATTTGAACTGGCATCTGCATCTATCACACACAACTGTGCATCCTGTATTCCAGTCTTATGACAAGTTTTGCTCACTGTGATCACCATAGTAATCTGTGTTCATCATAGTAATTTAGTTCATTATATTAACCCTTTAAGCTTATGTATCTATCTTTCTTTCTCGCACACACTTCTGTTATAATTTGTATTTACCTGGCTGTCCTGGTTGTCCTGGGCCTCCTGGCTGTCCTTGCTGTCCAGGCTGCCCAGGGTAGTCCGGCTGTCCAGGTTTACTGGGTTGGCCTCCTTGTTCTGGTTGTCCGGGGTAGCCTGGTTGTCCAGGCTGACCGGGGTAACCTGGCTGTCCTGGTTGTCCTGGCTGTCCTGGCTGTCCTGGCGTACCAGATTGACCACCTTGTCCTGGTTGTCCTTGTAAAGTTAAGAAAACATAGTAAATATAGGTTTTTTACGAAAGTCTGTGTTTAGAATACATTAAGTTTCAGTATCAACAAGTCAATAAGATGTTAGGGTAAAAATCCTCTTTCTTGCAGAGGCTGTTCATGCCATGAAACTCAGTTGAAGTGCAATTTTAATCGACTTCAAAAAAGGAGGTTCCCTCAGTTTGACCTGTATGTATGTATGTCTTTTTTTGTGCTATTATCTCGTGATTGGCTGAACCGATTTGGTGATGATGTGATGTGGTTTTCAAAAAAGTGGTTATTACACTCAGTGGAAGGTTTAAGTATAAATAAACCGACCAAAATAAAATACAGGGTTGAAGTCGGGATGTCTAAACGTAATTTATAAAATGATTATACATACTTTGGTAATATAATGTGTATTCATAATCTGTATTTACCTGGTTGTCCTGGGTAACCCGGTTGTCCTGGCTGTCCTGGGCCACCTGGCTGGTCTGGTCTTCCCGGGTAGCCTGGCTGTCCTGGCTTACCAGGTTGACCACCTTGTCCTGGCTGTCCAGGTTGTCCAGGTTGTCCTGGGTAGCCTGGTTGTCCTGGTTGACCGGGTTGTCCACCTTGTCCTGGTTGTCCTGGGTAACCTGGTTGTCCTGGTTGACCGGGTTGTCCACCTTGTCCTTGTTGTCCTGGGTAGCCTGGCTGTCCGGGTTGACCAAGTTGACCACCTTGTCCCGGCTGTCCAGGTTGTCCTGGGTAGCCTGGTTGTCCTGGTTGACCGGGTTGTCCACCTTGTCCTGGTTGTCCAGGTTGTCCTGGGTAGCCTGGCTGTCCTGGTTGACCAGTTTGTCCACCTTGTCCTGGTTGTCCTTGTAAAGTTAAGAAAACAGAGTACATATAAGTTTTTTACGAAAGTGGGTGTTTGGGATACATTAATATTTAGTATCAACAAGTCAATAAGATGTTAAAGTAAAAATGCTCTTTCTTGCAGATGCTGTTTATGCCATAAAACTTAGTCGAAGTGCATTTTTAACCGTCTTCAAAAAAGGAGGTTCTCTCAGTTTGACCTGTATGTATGTATTTTTGTGCGATTATCTCGTGATCTTGGTAGTAATATAAAATGATTATACAAACTGGTAATAAAATGTGTATTCATAATTTGTATTTACCTGGTTGTCCTGGGTAACCCGGTTGTCCTGGCTGTCCTGGTTGTCCTGGGTAACCTGGCTGTTCTGGCAGTCCTGGTCCACCTGGCTGTCCAGGTTGTCCCGGGTAGCCTGGCTGTCCTGGTTGTCCTGGTTGTCCCGGCTGTCCTGGGTACCCTGGCTGTCCAGGTTGTCCTGGGTAGCCTGGTTTACCTGGTTGGCCTCCTTGTCCTGGCTGTCCTGGTTGACCAGGTTGTCCTTCTTGTCCTGGTTGTCCTTGGAAAGTTAAATAAACGTAATAAATAAAAGTTTTCAGGATAATGCCTATTCAGGATACATTAATTTTTAATATCAGGGCCGTCACACACCTAGCTATAATATATATTTCTGTGAGATCACCATAATATATCCTCAAAACATATATTGGCATAGTAATATATTTTGGGGAAGCGTGATGTTCAGTGATTGACTGAACGACCGATTGGAAAACAATTGCGGTTACCTGAAAAAATTAGAATGCCCTATACGAAATATACATTTCAACCAGGCATCATGAGGGCTAGGGCTAGGTCAAAATTACCCAAGCTTTTGAATATCGCGTATAATTTATAATGATACATACAATGTTGCTGTTGTCATTAGTAGCAAGAGTTTCCGAGTTCTTTGATATGTTTATACCGCAAAATAAAACCAGCGAGTAAATAAGTACTCCATTGGGAGTTAAATGTGTCATATTGGTTATATGTTATATATGTTGGTTATATTTAATTCTTCCAGTAGTTATTAGTTAGTTCTTTATTATTCTACCCGGATCAACGTCGTGGGCAACTGGTTATATTATAGCTCATAGCTAGCTATACTATAATATAAATAAATATATATTATAGCTAGGTCTGTGACGGCCTTAAATAAGACAATAAGATGATACAGTAAAAATGCTCTTTCTTGCAAGTGCTGCTTGTGCCATGAAATTCAATCGAAGTGCAATTTATACTTTTGTGATATACCGTGTATTCATAATTTGTATTTACCTGGCTGTCCTGGGCCACCAGACTGTCCAGGTTCTCCTGGGTAGCCTGGCTGTCCTGGTTTACCAGGTTGGCCTCCTTGTCCTGGTTGTCCTTGTTAAGAAAACGTAAATAATTAAATATTCCAAGAAAATGTCAATTAACGATATACTTTACTTTTCAATCAAAAACATTTTAAAGTAAAAATTGTACTTCCTTATACAGGTGCTGCTTAGTTTATGTGATGAAAGATAACTGAACCAAAGGGTTTCTATAATATACTTTGTAACTACGAATTGTATTTACCTGGCTGTCCTGGGTAACCCGGTTGTCCAGGCTGTCCAGGCTGTCCTGGTTGTCCTGGTTGTCCAGGTTGGCCTGGATAACTTGGCTGTCCCGGTTTACCAGGCTGGCCTCCTTGTCCTGGCTGTCCTGGGCCACCCGGCTGTCCTGGTTGTCCTGGGTAGCCTGGCTGTCCTGGTTGACCAGGTTGTCCTCCTTGTCCTGGTTGTCCAGGTTGTCCTGGATAACCTGGCTGACCTGGTTTACCAGGCTGGCCTCCTTGTCCTGGCTGTCCAGGGCCACCTGGCAGTCCTGGTTGACCAGGTTGTCCTCCTTGTCCTGGTTGTCCTTGTTAAGTTAAGAAGAAGTAATTAATTAAAGTTTTCAAGATAATGTCAATATACCAGACACATTAATTCTCTAGATCAATCACTCAATAATATTATTAGTAAAAATGTACTTTCTTGTAGGTGCTGCTTAGTTTATGCGATGAAAGATGAAATTGAACCTAAAGCTTTCTCTAATATACCGTGTAACCATAACTTGTATTTACCTGGTTGTCCTGGATAACCTGGCTGTCCTGGTTTACCAGGCTGGCCTCCTTGTCCTGGCTGCCCTGGGCCACCTGGCTGTCCTGGTTGTCCTGGGTAGCCTGGCTGTCCTGGTTGACCAGGTTGTCCTCCTTGTCCTGGTTGTCCAGGTTGTCCTGGATAACCTGGCTGACCTGGTTTACCAGGCTGGCCTCCTTGTCCTGGCTGTCCAGGGCCACCTGGCAGTCCTGGTTGACCAGGTTGTCCTCCTTGTCCTGGTTGTCCTTGTTAAGTTAAGAAGAAGTAATTAATTAAAGTTTTCAAGATAATGTCAATATACCAGACACATTAATTCTCTAGATCAATCACTCAATAATATTATTAGTAAAAATGTACTTTCTTGTAGGTGCTGCTTAGTTTATGCGATGAAAGATGAAATTGAACCTAAAGCTTTCTCTAATATACCGTGTAACCATAACTTGTATTTACCTGGTTGTCCTGGATAACCTGGCTGTCCTGGTTTACCAGGCTGGCCTCCTTGTCCTGGCTGCCCTGGGCCACCTGGCTGTCCTGGTTGTCCTGGGTAGCCTGGCTGTCCTGGTTGACCAGGTTGTCCTCCTTGTCCTGGTTGTCCAGGTTGTCCTGGATAACCTGGCTGTCCTGGTTTACCAGGCTGGCCTCCTTGTCCTGGCTGTCCTGGTCCACCTGGCTGTCCTGGTTGTCCTGGGTCACCTGGCTGTCCTGGTTGTCCTGGGTAGCCTGGCTGTCCTGGTTGACCAGGTTGTCCTCCTTGTCCTGGTTGTCCAGGTTGTCCTGGATAACCTGGCTGTCCTGGTTTACCAGGCTGGCCTCCTTGTCCTGGCTGTCCTGGTCCACCTGGCTGTCCTGGTTGTCCTGGGTAACCTGGCTGTCCTGGTTGTCCTGGGTAGCCTGGCTGTCCCGGTTGACCTGGTTGTCCTCCTTGTCCTGGTTGTCCTGGTTGTTCTGGATATCCTGGCTGTCCTGGTTTGCCAGGCTGGCCTCCTTGACCGAATTGTCCTTATTTAGGCAAGAAAACGCAATTATTTAATTTGAGTTAAGCGTATGGTAGCACAGAATATTAACTCACAGCGTGTGATTACGTAACACAACGTCACGTCTTTAACCCCGAAGGGGTTGGCAGAGGTGCACATTACGACACCTAATGCCACTACGATGTAACACCCACTTTTCACTATTTATGTTATGAGTCCTATGTAATAAGGGGTAAACCTACCGGGCACAACTTCAGACTCCGTGCTCATACTGAAATTTAAAAAAGCCCAGTAATACTTTGTCTGACCAGGGAACCGAACCCGAGACCCCTTGCTCGGCAGTCGCACTTGCGGCCACTCGGCCAACGAGACAGTCGGCCTGTTTTTAATAAACTCTATTCAATCGCTGAACTGCAATGCACGTTTATTGGGTATTACGTAAGCATTCAAGCATTGGTAAATGCTAGACTTTTTATGCCTACCAAGTCTTGGCAAACTTGTCAAAACGGCTTACTTTGATTTGAAATCCTTATATGGTAAGTCTTTCTTGCCTCCGATAACCACAGACAGGTTGAGTTTAGAAAATTGTCTTACCTGGTTGTCCTGGATAAGTTGTCGTGTCGGTGGGACCACCGGGTCCACCTGGTCCACCGGGACCTCCGGGACCACCTAAATTAAACATAATTTATCAATATCTTTATAGCAATATTATGTAACCCATTCCATATTTCGCTAATAAATAAAGAATTTTAATTTGAAAATAACACAGGGACCATTTATTGTAAAGAAAGAAAGAAAAAAGAAGTTAATTTACCTGGTGTTCCTGGTGATCCTGGGCTTCCTGGAGAGCCGGGGCTGCCGGGTTGTCCTGGGTAGTAACCGCCGTTTGAAGGGCCATTGGGTCCATTTGGTCCTCCTGGACCTCCTGGTCCACCCGGTCCACCTGGTCCACCTGGACCTCCTGGAGTGCCGGGCGATCCTGGGCTTCCTGGAGTGCCAGGGCTGCCTGGTTGTCCTGGATAGTATCCTCCGCTGGAAGGACCATTAGGTCCATTTGGTCCTCCTGGACCTCCTGGTCCTCCTGGTCCACCTGGTCCACCTGGACCTCCTGGTGTTCCTGGTGATCCTGGACTTCCTGGAGAGCCGGGGCTGCCGGGTTGACCTGGGTAGTAGCCGCCGCTTGAAGGGCCATTGGGTCCATTTGGTCCTCCTGGACCTCCTGGCCCACCTGGACCTCCTGGAGTGCCGGGCGATCCTGGGCTTCCTGGAGTGCCAGGGCTGCCTGGTTGTCCTGGATAGTATCCTCCGCTGGAAGGACCATTAGGTCCATTTGGTCCTCCTGGACCTCCTGGTCCTCCTGGTTCACCTGGTCCACCTGGACCTCCTGGTGTTCCTGGTGATCCTGGACTTCCTGGAGAGCCGGGGCTGCCGGGTTGACCTGGGTAGTAGCCGCCGCTTGAAGGGCCATTGGGTCCATTTGGTCCTCCTGGACCTCCTGGCCCACCTGGTCCACCTGGTCCACCTGGACCTCCTGGAGTGCCTGGTGATCCTGGGCTTCCTGGAGATCCAGGGCTGCCTGGTTGTCCTGGGTAGTACCCTCCGCTGGAAGGACCATTAGGTCCATTTGGTCCTCCTGGACCTCCTGGTCCACCTGGTCCACCTGGACCTCCCGGTGTTCCTGGTGATCCTGGGCTTCCTGGAGAGCTGGGGCTGCCGGATTGTCCTGGATAGTAGCCGCCGCTTGAAGGGCCATTGGGTCTATTTGGTCCTGCTGGACCTCCTGGTCCACCCGGTCCACCTGGTCCACCTGGACCTCCTGGTGTTCCCGGTGATCCTGGGCTTCCTGGAGAGCCGGGGCTGCCGGGTTGTCCTGGATAGTATCCGCCGCTTGAAGGGCCATTAGGTCCATTTGGTCCACCAGGGCCTCCTGGGCCCCCCGGTCCGCCTGGTCCACCTGGACCTCCTGGAGTGCCAGGTGAACCTGGGCTTCCTGGAGCGCCAGGTTTGCCCGGTTGGCCAGGGTAGTAGCCGCCGCTTGAAGGGCCATTGGGTCCATTGGGTCCATTAGGTCCACCAGGTCCTCCTGGACCTCCTGGTCCTCCAGGTCCACCGGGTCCTCCTGGAGTGCCTGGTGATCCTGGGCTTCCTGGAGTGCCAGGACTGCCGGGCTGTCCTGGGTAGTATCCGCCACTTGAAGGGCCATTGGGTCCATTAGGTCCTCCAGGGCCTCCGGGACCGCCGGGTCCTCCTGGACCTCCTGTAAACAAAATTGAACCAGTTATTTATTGAAAGTTTACTGAATGCGTGAGTGAATTATTTTATTTTAAGGCAGGCTTTTAGTGTTTAACCTTTATTACGAGTCTTACCAGCTGGGTACTTTTTTGGAGATCTGAAATCGGTGACAACGAGGACTCGTTCCATCGGGACATGAATGAATATTGTGATAAATAACTATTTACCTGGACCGCCAGGGCCGCCGGGGCTGCCTGGAGTACCTGGTGTTCCTGGTGTCCCTGGAGTGCCCGGGTAGTAGGTACCGTCGGGACCATAAGAACCATTAGGACCTAATGGTCCTCCTAAAGCGACACATAGGGTTAGTTAAAAATTAGTGGTTATTTAAGCAATTGGAACATTTTCAATATTAAATACATTATAATCTTAGTAGTACTATGTATTACGCAGTTAAAGCATTGATGAATCGTATAGCAGCATGAAATTAATAAAAGATAAGTATACCTCTAATATTTCTGTTTAGTTCGGACTTATCTTATGCACAAATAAATACACTTGATATGCTAAATTGAATGTTACAGTAATGATAGAGTATGGTGTCACAATCAATAAATTTTGATGTAGTTAAGTTGAACTAACTTTTAATAAATATCTTAAAAAATCTGCTTTTTAAGGTAACCATTGAAGACAATGATTGAAATCGAGGAATATACGATATCTAGCAATAAAATAGTAGCCGCTATGTTACTCTAAATTTGTGTGTATTTAGCGCAACGAAGCGGCCGATTAATTCGTTCATACTACGAAAATTTCATGCTGTACGACAAAAAATATTAATTAGTACATTTCTTACCTGGTCCATTATCTTGTCCTGGATAATAGCCTCCTGTGCCTGAAAGAGTTAGCACACACAGACAGGTTAGTGACAAAGCAAGCTGCGTATCGTTAAAATTGCAAGTAAGTTATATCAGGCGCTTGATACAAGTAAATTTTTATAATTTATCATCAACTTAAGTCGTGATGTTCTAAATTAGTTGTTTATTTTTATTTAATTGTTAAATATTTATTAGTTGTTACTATCTTACCTGGTCCATTTGGTTGTCCTGGGTAATAGCCACCTGAGCCTGTAAGTGGTTAGACACACGTATTCGTTAGTAGGTACAAACTATGCCGATTGTTAAGCGCATGGCAAAATGTATTAGCTTAACGCTCAAGAAGCAATCTAAGTTAAAATGTCATTCACTAAACGAAACATGATTAAGTTATAATATAGCAGGACTGTAAAATAAAATGATACGTATATGTATCATAAACAACAATTGCTTTGTTATATGTAACAGTGATGTTTAATTTCTTATGTTTCGTTTAATGGAGTAACTAGGAGGATCATTCCATTTTAGTATTGATCAAAGTTATTAAATTAGCAATTTGAATCTACGATCCAATAAACTTTAGTGTTAGAAATGTTAGTCACAACTTACCTCCGGGGTAGTAGCCTGGGTACCCAGGAGTGCCTGGGGTACCTGCCGTGCCTGGGTAACCAGGTGTGCCTGGAGTGCCTGGGGTGCCTTCTGTGCCTGGGTAACCAGGTGTACCTGGTGTGCCTGGGGTGCCTGGCGTTCCTTCTGTGCCTGGGTAACCAGGTGTACCTGGGGTGCCTGCTGTGCCTGGGTAACCAGGTGTACCTGGGGTACCCTCTGTGCCTGGGTATCCGGGTGTGCCTGGTGTGCCTGGGGTACCAGCCGTGCCAGGGTAACCAGGTGTGCCTGGAGTTCCTTCTGTGCCTGGGTATCCAGGTGTACCTGGCGTGCCTGGGGTACCAGCTGTGCCTGGGTATCCAGGTGTGCCTGGGGTTCCTTCTGTGCCTGGATATCCAGGTGTACCTGGCGTGCCTGGGGTGCCTGCTGTGCCTGGGTAACCAGGTGTACCTGGGGTACCCTCTGTGCCTGGGTATCCAGGTGTGCCTGGTGTGCCTGGGGTACCAGCTGTGCCTGGGTAACCAGGTGTGCCTGGGGTTCCTTCTGTGCCTGGGTATCCAGGTGTACCAGCTGTGCCAGGGTACCCAGGTGTGCCAGAGGTACCTGGATATCCAGGTGTGGCTGGGGTGCCCGGGTATCCAGGAGTGCCTGCTGTGCCAGGATAACCTAAGGTCCCAGGAGTACCTGGGCTGCCAGGGGTACCTGGACTACCGGGTGTACCTGGGGTGCCTGGAGATCCAGCGGTGCCTGGAGTTCCACTTGAGCCGGGGTAGTAACCGCCTGATGGACCACCGGGGCCGCCGGGACCACCTGGACCTCCTATAGTTGAAAAATAATCCCATGAAATCTGTATTTTACACTTATTCCTAAAACGTTAAATTGCTCAGTGAGCTTTGATGACATGCCATTAACAAAATATGAATTGATACGAGGTAGTTAAAATATTGTGGTTACCTGGTCCACCTGGTGTGCCGGGAGAGCCGGGAGAGCCTGGGGTTCCTGGGGTTCCTGGGGTGCCTGGAGTACCAGGCCTGCCTGGAGTTCCTGGCTTGCCTGGTTGACCTTGCCCTAGAAAACAAATGGTATGTTTGTATTAGATACCAAAACGTCACAATTAAATTAAGTTTGTTAAAAATGTAGCCGCAGCCTTGAAACGCAGCTGTCTCTGAATTATTTCATATTTTATAATTAAAAAAAAATACTTACATGATCCTGATCCAGGGCCGTAAGGTCCATTGGGTCCTGTAAACATAATAAAATAACGACATTAACTATCACTTTTAGGAAATAAATCATCTTATAAAATCATTGATCCTTATATTTTGTAAATTGATAACTTAATAAAAGTGTAAGAAGTTCGTCTTATTTCATACCTTGTCCAGATTGTATAGGTTTGACATTCGTGGTCTCACTACTGCTGTCTATGGGACGAGGTGGTTTGGGCGTAGGCTTCGGTAAAGGTTTGGCTGGAACTCCGCCAGGAGTACGACCACATCCTTTGGGGAAGTAGAGTTTCTTCCACGGGATTGTTTGTCCTGGCTGAGTGTTTAATGCCTGTCCAGTACTGTAATTGAAATATATAACTTTGTACCCCATTTGTCTTAGTTAAACTTTGTTTGTTTACACAAGTAAGTAAGTACAAGAGGTCACAAGACCTCAGTAATAAATCACTGTTTAACAAGTGAAAAGACAATAAATAATGTTAATACAATTGTGCAAAGCATTGTTAACAGTGGTCGGTATGCTGAATAGACTTACATTTCATCGTATTCATATTTCTCGTCAGGGAATACTTCGACTGGTTTCTCGGGTTCCACTACTCTGTATCCGTGACTGTCAGCAACGTAGTGGGTAACTCGGAGGAAGTTCTCTGGGTCCAAGTAACCATAGCAACCATAGGTGACGCCATCCGGACCGCGGTTCTCATGATGGAACTGCCCGTTTGGACCGACGTCATAACCGAAGCCGTATGCACCTGGAACAAGTATCAAAACCAGTTTAGACAAAATGATATAACATGATAAAATTAGCCACAGCCATTATGCTGGCTCTAAAACCTGTCCTTCTAAACTGAGCAAGAAACATTCCAACGCGTTTTATTTCGCGGATTCTGTTAAAATATTGTGACCATTATTTTTTGTTGCAGGCTTTTTTACTAGATAGCAGATGTAGGGAGGTGACAAATTTAGAACATTTGTCTCAACAGGCGGCACCACTATGATAAACGACAAAGTTTATTACTGAAAAAGGAAAACTAGCCAGTCGTTGAATTGGGCAAGATAAGGCTGTTGTCAGAAATATTTTTTGTGCCTACATTGTAAATTATGTTCAAAAATATTTTCTTTTTAAAATTACGTCATTCCATGGTAGTTCATCTTGTTCAATACTTTTCTTTATGTTAAAGTGTCAATTTTACATCAACGCAATAAAAATCCAATCGGCACATAAATTCTGGGAGCGTCTAATTTTATACATTATCATCATAATCTCATGCACAAGTGTTGCATAATTTTAATTCAAAAATTACTTTAAAATTATTACCAATATCGATATCCAGTAAAAATCCACTACACATTTTTTTATTAGATGTATCACAATAATATTTTATTTCTAGTTTTACAGGTTTTAGGATATACAAGGTTATAGAAAAAATGTACCTACTAACATAAATTGATGAGCTTTTAAGATTTGAAACAATCTTGAAACAAACTATACTTAGAAATGTTCTAAGACTTGCAACGTCTTAAAATTTTTTTTTTTTTGTAACACGCCTGCTACATCCTTTCAAAACCATTGCAACATCTCTTTAAATGCCATACGTATTACGTATTGAAAAATTAATGATGCGTACCTACTGAAAAAACTTCAGTACAATGAATAAACACGACTTGAGACTTCCATCAAGGAACTGGAGAGTCATCTTATGACCACACGACACCACGATGACCTAACTACCCTTTACACAACATAACATCACGCCTTTTATCCTCGAATGGGTATAGAGGTACAGAGGTGCACATTTACGGCACTTAATGGAATATTATATCACCCACTTTACACTATTTATGTCATGAGTTCCACGTAATAAGGGGTGAGCCTATTACTATATACCGGGCACAGTTTCAGACTCCGTGCTACTAAGAAAATTTTAAAAACTCAGTAATACTTTGCTTGGCCCGGGAATTGAAAGCGAGACCCCTTGCCCTGCAGTCGCACTTTTTTTTTAAGGGCGGAAAATCATCAAATGACTGCTCCCGCCTGGGTGAGGCGGAAGGGAGTGTCACTCTTACCGACTAAAAACCACCCTGTTCCTTCTCCTTCACGTCGAGCCGGAGCTCCGGTTACCCGTTAGGTTCTCCGCGACCTGCAGTCGCACTTAGACCACTCGACCAACGAGACAGTCCTTTACATACAAGTATTTAATTTATAAGATGTGTTTGAAAATACACTTGAAAATTTCAAGCGTGTCTCACGAGAGTTGATTACAAAACCAACTGTTACTCGAGTCGAGTACACGTTAATGTCACAAATGAACGTAATTCGTAATTATGTTTGCTACGTCGTGATGATATTTTAATCTGTCAAAAATCTAGATTTCATCAAAGATGTTAACTTCAACCGGAACTGTTTATAAATTATGTATAACTTACAAGTTACATGGATATTGAGTATGTATCTGTCAGTTGCCTTATAAGACTACAATCGTTTGATTATTATGTCTTTCAGCTTACTCTCGTAATTATCTATACTCTATACTAATATTATATAGCTGAAGAGTTTGTTTGTTTGTTTGAACACGCTAATCTCCGTAAGTACAAGTCTGATTTGAATAATTCTTGTCGAGTTGTCTTCTTATCGAGGATGGCTATAGGCTATAAAACATCACGCTACGACCAATAGGAGCTGAGCAGAGCATGTGAAACCGCGCGGAAGTAGCTAGTTAATAATGAATTTAGTGTCTCACGAAAGTTATTTGAGTTATATGACTACAATTGTTTATTTATCTGACAAGGTGTACTTGATGATACGAATTTTTGTTATACAATTCCAAAGAACAGATTTTTATTCTATACTATTTTCAATATTATTTTATAGGCTAGCTTTTCTTTTATTCTCGATTCTTTTTATGCATCTCTATATTAATATCTGTCTTTTATCGTTTTGCATTCAAACCAGTCCGCTTATTTTCGGTTATCCCTGTTAGGCATATTATTAACAATTTCTTACAGTGTTTTTATCAAACCATCAGTCATGATGAGAGACCACCCATTAATATAAAGGTACCTCTATTTTGTCTTGAATGCCGACCATCATCGGTAATCACAGTCATGGTGGTTATCGTTAAATACAATTTTAAACTAATAGGTATGTTTCCAAATAAAATTACGCTATCAAATGAAATTATGCAGTTCTAAAATTAACTCGTCGAGTACCGGTTTTAAAGACACAATTATAGAACAATAGGTTGCGGTCACCGGTGACCGCTTGGTGTTTGACAGTTTAATAAGAGTTGAGAAACAGGTTCGAAACTATTTAGCATGGTGTCTGAAAATGTATACCAACGTATAGTATTATTAAGGAACGGATATTCTTAGTAGATTATTTATTATTATAGTATTAACATAAGCTTCTTTGATCTAGACAGTTACTTTATTTCATTGGCAGTAAGGGCCATTTTCGTTAACGCCTTGCAGTTGACCGAAGTTGTGTGGGAATTCATGTTCATTTGAAGCCATCTCATTAAAATTCACAATACGAATCCCGACCACAATTAAGTCCTGAGTGAGCTGACCACCTGGGACAATCCATTAAATTAAAATGGGTGTGTGGTATCTCACGTGTCGTACCTTTACAGAGGAATTTGTTTGGGGTTCTCAATGATAAGACAACCAATTCATTCATGTCATTCAGTTTTGCTAATGACCTTAAATCAACTCGTTCTAAAATATACGTAGATAAAACCTAAGTTATTGGGCATTGTATTATATCATTTTATGTTAACGAATTTAATTTATTGTTGTTTTTTTTTAATTATTTCCAATAGGGACTGTTTAGGTATTAATACTCATCGGTATTAAATATTACTCAGATAACGAGTTATTTATTAAGAAACAAATTCAAAAATATCTTTGTATATCTGGATATACAAAGATATTTTTAAATTTGTAAAAATAAACAGACTTCTGGAAGTCTGTTTATTTTTTATATGTATGTCATAAAATTCAAAGTTACTTGTTAGAATACGCACTTTATCAACTATTAGCAATTTCACAACTAAGTACGTACGTACCCAAAAACTCACATGTTTTTCTTATTTTTAGCGCTCTGATTCCAAAGGTCTCGCATTTTTTATATTTATCTTGAAATGCATTCCTCGTCAACATTTCTAAAGCTTCTTATTTTCTTAATTTTAATTAAAATTCTTTCAAATAAGTAACAAAAATGAGGGAGTAGATCAATCATCCTCTTTCAGACTGGGATATAAATGACTGTATAGCTATATTTAGATTGATTAGGATATTTGTGGCGGATGATCGATAGTAAGATGAAAGTTGACATCAATGTTGAGCGCCCCACATGGACGGAAAGATTGCTGATCTTTACCTACAATGACATAATACCAAAACGTGACATCCACTAGTCGTCCGTGAGGTACTGGTGCTATAAAATGATACCGGTTTAGAAATATGATTCGGCCAAATTGTTATATGGATGCGTCAATCGAATAAGGGCCAAAACATTCGATGAATTTGTCTAGAAATTGAAGCACAGCGCTTTTATTCGAAGAATTAAAGTGTAAAGACTACCATGTAATTGGGATTAGCACAGTGTATTATAGTCTTTAACTATGTGTAATATCCGAAGCATCCGAAAATGTTATGTTTTAAAGATCAATATTATACTAAAATATACTTTGTAATTAAAGATCAGTCATTCAGTCTGATCAGGCAGGTGCGAATTTTAAGTTGTCTTTGTAGTGATTGACAACTCTATCACTATTCACTATCATAGTTTTGTATTGTGTTTACGCTTTGAGGTCAGAGTGTAAATTAATACAACACGTGGTAAGGCCGTGCTTAAGAAATTGAGTAGCGCCATAAATATTCACATAATGTTACAAAAAAAAAAAAATAGTCGAGTCAAATATTCGAACTTGTAACTAGATTTTCGATTAGAGAATTGTTGAGACAAGAGATTAGACTTAAATCCAGGTTTAATTAAAGTTGGATTTTTAGGTTTTCAAAATTATTATTGTAGTTGAGTTGTTCTCTGAAAGTACCAATTATTAACGTTTTGTGCTGGTCACAAAAAGTGGTTCTCATATTTAACAGTGCATCTTTGCACTCATGCGGTCCGAAGAAGGAATAACTATGTTTATGTTTATATGAATCTTTGAATATAACTTACTTGTGTCGTAATTGGTTTCATAATACTGTTTCTTTTCATCGTCCTCTATGTCCACGACCACTTCGTTGTCTAGTTGCCCCTGGTACGGGTCATATTGGCGAGCCTCTCGCGCTTCCGATAGTGCTTTGAATTCATCTTTTGGCGGTTTCTTTGGCGTAACCTCGCTGGCATGTATTATAGCCAGCGCGGCCTGTGAACAAAAGAAAATAAACCATCAGCCTAATTAAATTAAAGTCCAATTTTAGTCTTAAGCAGAAATTAACTCTTACACATTTGACCGACAGGTCAAAAAGCAAAGACGTCAGCGCCAAGCTAAGGATTCGTCCTTAAATAAGTTTGTATTTATTTGTAATAAGTTTTCGTTATCTTATGTAAATATAGATGAAATATTGTAAAAAAACCCATTCCATGATAATAACTCCAGTACACTTTTATACCTAAATAAGAATGAGTTAAGTTACTCTTGGGCTTGTTGTCACACGTCTTTCTGGCAGTCAAAAGATTAAATAACACCTAACTATATAAGTAACAGTAACCCCTAACTTAATGTAACATAACATAACATCACGCCTTTTATCCTCGAAAGGGTAAGCAGAGGGGCACATTACGGCATTTAATGCTAGTACGATGTAACACCCATTTCCGTTATGAGTTCCATGTAATAGGGGATGAGCCTATTGACATATACCTCACACAATTTCAGGCTTCCTGCTAGTACTGAGAATTAAAAAAAACCCCAGTAATACTTTGTCCATCCCAGGAATCGAACCTGATACTCCTTGCTTGGCAGTCGCACTTGCGACCACTCGGCCAACGAGACAGTCCTAACTTAATGTACTCGTTATAAAAATATTCATATATCTTTTTTAATTACTTTTCTAATTGTTCTTGTCTAAAAAGCTGTCAAATTGAATTTGTGTACTGAATAAGATTGGATAAACTCCTCTGTATTTAATTATCGTGTGTTAAACAGATTTATTAGTAAGCATTGGTATGCCAACCCTGGTGGGTTGAAATATACATGTGTCAAATAAAAGACGACCTTATGGATGTTATTAAAATACTACTAAATGTAGAATTAAATTGATTATAATAAATGTTTGTAATAAGGTACTAAATTGTATAATGTGTGTAGTGTCAACGGTATCTAGTTTAGCACCTAATTAGCTAAATTAGGGTAATGATGTTCGGCCAATTAGCTAGCTTAGTGCTAATGTTTGAACTACTGAAATATAAGACTTAATGCTTTAATGAAACTTTATTCTTGAAACTATTAATAGTCATTAGCTACTCAGAGGTCGGACTTAATTTGTGTTTTAAAATAATTAAGAAAATGACTAGCTTTACAATGAAATAAATATAAGTAGGTAGGAGTTATAAAATAAGGGCATAACTAACAAACAAGCATGTTAAGATTGTGATTAATTGTGTTTTTTTAATTGTTCGTAAGTTTAATTTACATGAAGACTAATTTGTAACTCAACCATCATGTAAATATAATTCAAGCGATTGTTATTGGTAACAGGAGAATAATTATCATTACGTACTTAATATTTGGATAGCATACAGAATTGTTTGTGGCCCAGTGCAAGTGATATTTCATAAGTAGTATATTTTAATAAAATAATAATAATAGGTTGAAAATGTCAAAGGATAACGATAATTTGAGTGATATTTGTCTTAGAGTATGTTGACGGACGCGAGGCTAAAGTGAATCTTACACAATAAAATATTGGGTGAGGCACTGTGTGCAACCGCTAACAAATATTATTGTCTGCAGACATTACTATGTCATCTCTACGCCTTCTAGTCTATTTATGTATATTACGCAATTTTTAAAAGAATGCTCACTGTTCAGCTTTCAAGAACATTTCGAAAAAATATTGGTTGCTCAACTTTTCATCTGTATACATAATAAATATTCACATCAATACCGTTGTCCTTAAAATTTTAGGTCATGTAATCAAGGATACATAAATAAAGGCTTTTTAACACTTGGATGTATTTTAAGGTGTGAAAAACGATATGAAAGATCTCCCTATATCAAAACATGATTGTTTGCTCCTTGATTTAACATGAGACGCGAGGCAAGATGCGTTGCAAAACTGTCAAGGAGCCACTCAACGCGGTACCTACATCGTAATCGTAAATACCAAATGTTCAACAAGTTTTATTGATAATAGGCACACACGATGCTAAATTGAGCATTACTTGATGTGTTTAGCTCATTGTACATACCTATTGTATAAATCTAACCGTTTAAGTAAAGGTTACTCATTCAGACTCCGATTGCAGTTGTTATGGTAATTTTATGAATATCTTTTATTGATCGGGTTACAAAACACATTCGGCATTGCATGTTTTACCTATTGCATACATATTTGCAGAATAGTGCATATTAACATTAATTACGTGTAGGGAATATTAAAAACGATAATAAGGAAGCAAATAATGAGCCAAGGACGAATGCAGATGATGTAGGTACATATTGTTCAGTTTCAATGACTCAACATCGTCTACCCGGGGAATCAGTTAATGGTTTTGTTTTTGTGTCAATTCTATTTTGGTAAATAAATCTGATCAAAGATTACGATCAAGTCGGTCAAAGTAAAAGAAATATTCAGTTAACGTTTGGCTTTGTATAAATTCGTCCCATTGTGACGCCGAACACGTTTAGAACAAACTTTTGCAGTGTCCGTCAATGTCCGTGACCGTAACCCCCAAAACTGTCGCCTTACGTTTCAATCTCACGTACAGCCGAGACAAGCATCAGAAACAAATTGTTTTTTGATCTGGGACATAAACGTGTAAGCATTTAAAAAAAGTATTCGCAAGTCACGTCGAATTTTTAAACAGAAAAAACGCTAAACAATGGATTTGACACAGAAACCTAAAGTTACTTTTGATCCTTTGAATGGCGGCGCGCGGTTTATAGCAAGCGAATAAATTTATGAATTGATAGTAATTTGTCAAGTTACTGAAGCCTAAATACAGTTAATCATTATTAGAATTTGATGTCGCAGGATGGTCGACGAAGTTTAAGTGGAACTTTGGATTAGTCGATGTAACGGTTTGTTGTGTTCAACTGACACTGCCTCAAGTGCCGCCCACCGTGGGATAAATGTTGTATTCATTAACTTGCGCAATTTTGAAATTAATTTACTTTTGCCGTGGATTATCCGGAATCGATTAGGCAAATCTATAGATTATGTTTTAGATTTAGACACTTCGTAGGACTCATCTGATGTATAGTACTGTTGTTTTGTGCATTGCTATTGTGACATCACACGTGTGTTTTATTACATGTGACTAGTACCTTGGCGCACATCTCCATTCTACCTGTTCGTGTAATTTACCTACTACCACGCATAAGTACATACGTAAGTAAAACATTTCATATGTATGCAAGTAAGAAATGTTTCACTGTAAACACGCCGCATTATCCCAACATCTTTATGGCTTAGCGGTAACTCAGGTTTTATTTCCAAGCGGATCTTCGCGACACGCGTGCCCTTGCTCATTGCCGTTAAATATTTATATAATTGCAACTTTAAGCCCATAATAAAAATACATATTACGATTTTCTACTTAAACGTGACATTTAGTATTTTACGTCATTATCCTAAGCGTCATTATCTACTAGTATAATGTTCTAAGGTACCTACGGCTTGAACATTGTGCAAGTTGAATAGCTAATTACTGTACCTACTTTAGCATTGCTAAGGTTACATTGTTAGGCACTTGCCAATATGATCGTATGGTCATATTTTGAAATTTTATGCGCGGTAGGTACCTACATTATTGCTAAGAGAATATGCGGTGGAATGTTATATATGTAATGACAATGTGTTACAGTACCTAAGGTTATTAACATGTTCATCAAATAGGACGATTATTATTTCCTTAATATGTGTATGTCTGGAGAATCAGATTTTAAATTAACTTCGTTTTTATCGATACCGTCTCCAACCACCAGATTTTCGTAGCAGAATTTATTACTTTTGTATTTTGTACGAAACATGCAAATGTTCGCGATGTAATTTTTTGGTTACTTTTTATTGTTTTATTTCGGCAATTCCACCGTATTCCAGGGTCCCTTCGTGGCTGTCATGGATTTCCATACTTTATTGCGAATACGGCATTCGAACCCCGAAATAAATGGACTTTGCAAAATTGTGGAAGTTATGAAACACAACACATTAACATTTTAAGGATTCTTTTATATTATTATGATAGCATATTTTACCTTTTGTATTAATAAACTGGTTTTTGATACAAACATTCTATGATTCTATATAACATTGAATTAAAATGAGCGCTATAAATCAATGAATAGTTTTCGTAATTTGTAATGATTTTTTTAATGTTAATAGTGGGAGTGTTTAAGGCTAGAGTTCAAATGTCAACACTTACGAGTATCGTTTTCTCTGCAGTTAGTTATTATTCGAGGACATTGCAATGTTACATCAGGAAGGAATATTATCTAAAGTTATTTGATTCTGTAAAACATATAATAAAATTGTAGAAAAGTCAAAACTGTACATTTAATATATTTTAAAAGAATACGTGTTGCGTGATTTACTATCGATACCGAACCCAAATATATGGTACCTATTTGGAATTTTTGTCTGTTTGTCTGTATGTATATCCAGGATGATCTCTAAAAGTGCTGAATGGATTTACTTCAAATTTTGCATGAATATTACTAACAGGTCAGGTCAACATATAGGCTACATATTATCACGCTATCACCTACGGGAGGAGCTGTGAATCTCTATTCAACGCGAACGAAGTCGCGGGCAATAACCAGTTCTGTAAATAAATTTACATTAGGTACTTTATCTCTAAAGGACAAGGAAAGGTTTTTCATAGTTCATATTACTATTATTACCTTGAAACAAGTTACTTAACTTATCGCAATAAGCCGCTAAAACTGTTGTTATTCTACGTGCACGTGTACCTCTATAATAGATGAAGCTTACACATTACATCACGCTTTTTATTCCCGAAAGGGTAGGCAGAGGTGCACGACATTACGGCACTTAATGACTACCTCATTGGCCGAACGGTCGCAAGTGCGACTGCCGGGCAATGGGTCTGGGTGGTACTGGTATGGGCAAAGTATTACTGGGTTTTAAAAAAAAAATGTAGTAGCACGGAGTCTGGAAATATGCCCGGTATATGGCAATA